CATGGTTGCTGAATAGGAATTTCTTGTCTCATACGAATTTAATAGCGGAATCACGTAATGATCCTGACGATTTTCGTAATTACTTACGTATGGACGAATCCACATACCTGCATTTTCTAAACTTAATTGCGCCAATGATTTCGAGAGCAGACACCGTTATGAGACGTTATTAACGCGATTACCCCCCACGAACGATTATCGGCTACATTTAAGGTTTTTGGCAACAGGAAGAAGCTACGAAGACTTAAAATTTTCCACTGTTATTTCCAAGCCAGCTCTGAGTAATTTAATTCCAGAAACATGTGACGCAATTTACAGGGCATTAAAAAACACATATCTATCATATAAGTCGCAAATCTGCTGTTTCTCATTAGCCATCGTTTTGCACAGAATATGAGACAGGGCTTAACACAAACTTGTCACACAAACAAGATGTGGCGTCTTCAGAACAATTGTCCACTGGTGGTGCAATACGCTGTACAAAGACTTTAGACAAAGGTCTACATTCTTTTTCCCAATTAAAATGTATGGCTTTCCTTTTCTATTCACCCTGAACCATAAGGCTATACGCTCACCCGTAATAGCATAGGAATTCCTGTGCATTTTTGGCAGTGAGTTACAGAAAATCTACTTGTTGTATTTGATTCAAACTTGAAAAATTGGATAGATGCTATCCTCGAGCATGTCAGAAAGTCATTTTGAATGTATAAAACTTTACCTGGGTATGCTTAAACTGAGCAACAATAGTCCATAAATGTAAGTTTTTTTCAAATTACCTTTATACAATGGTTGCAATTGTTTTTTCACATTTAAGTTGACTTTCTGACAACCTCCAAAGCTTCTAGTTTAGAATGCTTCAAGATTTTTTTAGTTTGGACAAAAGATGCGACCAGGATTCCATGCCAAAATAGGACATTTTAGGGGACATTTTTTCGTCAAATTCTAGCTCGAATTTTTCGATTTTTTCCTTAATAAAAGTTAGGTTCGTTTGAGACAAATATTATCTTAGTGCCCCTTTGATCACTTACGGGACACCCCCGATGTCACGTCATAGCCCTAATTGTGTCCATGCGGAAACGAATCAAAGATCAAATGCAAATAAGCACACAAATAAGTCGCAGGGGTTCAGAACTCGGTGAATTTATTAAATACTAGTCTGGATCAAATATGAAACCGAAAGTCGTAAATTAACAGTCGAAAAGGTAGAAAGAGACGCCGGTGCCGGCCGGCTACAAGCCAAGCGTGTTCCAGTAGTTCACGCTTACCAAAATCTGAAGTTATCTCAAGATTCAACTAGCATTTTTTGAGCGTATAGCCATAAAGCCATCTGAACCAAAATCTATCCTGACAGAAAATCCACTTCAGATGGGATCGTTGGATTGAGCGTGTACATAAACGCTGTTCAGGCCAGGTTTATGGGTTTCGAATGAAGTATCGCTACCATGTGCGGGATTCTCTTTGTTGTATTATCGTTTAAACCACTTATTTCCTAATATTACAGTTACACTCCACATATTATCAAACTTTTTATTGATTTAAATAATTGCTTGAATTAACGATAATTTTGTTCACAACGCACATTGTAAAAGTAAGCTTGAATTTGCGTACGTTTGTTTGCATTTTTTTGCAACATCTGCAGCCTGTGACATTTTAATCAACTCTCAGGGTGAATAGAAAAAAGAAGTCTAGAAGAAGAATAAATTTGAATTGGGATATACCGATGGCCAAGATTTTACCTACTTCCTGCTAAAATTTTAGTCTGTCTTAGACACAAGTGCTCAAACTTCAGTGTTAAATTAAATTAAATTTGTGTGAAGCCCTATCTCATATTCTGTGCAAAACGATGGCTTATGAGAAACAGCAGATTTGTGATTGGG